GTCGCGAAGGGCTGTGTTGGGCCGTTGTGACCCTCTCTTATATGTTTACTCTAACCGTCGTGGTTGCCATCCCGCGTATCAATTTAATTTGCCAATCAAACTGTTTCCGTGCTGATACACACTGTGATTCGAACGTTTGGCGGGTCGCTGGAGAGCATAGTCTACTCTCATTTCATCGGCATCGTGTGGGTTGCTTTGTCTCGCCAACTCTATTGGTTGCCTCTGTTCCCATTGTCGTTTTTCTAACCTGCGGCCTGAGGGAATTGCTGGTCAGAACGGCTAGCGACTCTTGCCTTGACTGCTCAATGTTCGTGCCTTGAGTGCGTTGAGTGTGGTGGTACTCGTTTTCTGAACCGACTGTCCGTACTTGTCTACCTGTTCAGTATTCTACCCAAATAGAATGTCAGCAACAATGCCGGAGTAGTTACAAACAAATGGTTTTTGTAGTTAGAAGGACAAAAAAGGGAAACTTGGATGGCCACTTCCGGGTTATTAGTCTTCATCAGCTAGTCACAACAAACCTCGGATGTTGCGGTACCCGAGGCTCGAACTCTCGACCTGTTAGTTGTATGTGTAATGCTCTAACTCAATACGCTACGAGGTCTTTGGTTTTTGTTTGCGCTCAGGAGATACTAGTAATGGTAGATTGGCGCCCACCAGTCGTTTACGGGCATTGCTTGTTCCGTTGTACCTTGGGGCTCACCATCGAGTCCCACTACCACCACCAGCTGCGGAGCGTTGGTCCTCGTAGTGTCTCATTGTGTGTTTCAGTCGCGTACAACCTTGAGTGAGAACGATGTCGGCCATCTGGGGGTGGAAGCGCAGCAAATGACATCCGGCACACAGATCCGCATGTCCTTTCGAAAATGGTGACCCGAAAGATTTTGCCGGAAATTCAAATTAGCTTCCTTCATGCAGAGTTTGCACAGTGGCTTGAAGGACGGGGGAAGGGAGGAGGTGTTTCACGCCTGTGTGCAGCCCGCTTCTGCTCTTACATATACGTAAGCTCCGCATTCTTTACGGTTTGGCCTGTGCAGCGACT